GGAGATGAAGGAACACAGATGGTCGAAGACGAAGGAGCGTAGACGGCCGGAACGGAGGAGCGTAGACGACCGGAGCTATTTTGGGATTTGATATTTTTTTACTTTTGGAAAGTCTTAATTAGGCAAAATTTAAGGGATTTAAATGGTAACCTACCAATTTACTAATTTTAGATTTTAAAAGTTAATTAATATTGAAGCATAAATATAAAAGGGTATACTAGTAAATTGGGTGATRGGTATCATCTTAAATTGAGTTGTTTGATAATTGAGTTGTTTGATAACAAAAGTGCAAATTTTATACCTTCAATCCTTTTATGTAATTATGATATCTAAATAGYCTGATTTTGAATTATCTTTCCTATGATCAACCAGGGGAATGCTTATTTCTATTCCTATTTGAAATAAAAATAAGTTTTTCAACCTTGCCTTTTTTTAATATAATATGTGGGGACGAGGGATCGAACTCACAAACTCTTGGTTTGAGATATATGTTAATTACCGCTGAGCTATGTTTGTTTTGGTTCAACCTTGCCTAATATAACCTTTGATTTTTCTAAGAACCAACTTTCACAACTCATTAATTTCTCTATCAACAATATTGAATGCCAAAATATAAATATAACTATTACTATATAAATAAACATTAGTTGTCAAGATATTGAATGCCAAAATATGAATATAACTATTACTATATAAATAAACATTAGTTGTCAAGATGTTCACACTCTAAGATGTACTTGGAAGTGATGACAAAATCACTAATTTTGAAAAAATATATCCAATTATGCTCAAATTATTCCTTCCAATTTTCAAATAATTCAAAGCCCTTCAAATAAGAYTATTCAGCAAAACTCGATATGACTTGCATGACAGCCTTTAAACCAAATTACATGACAGCCTTTTAAACCAATTTGGTTTAAATGACTACTATTTTAGTCATGTACTTTCGATTAGGTTAATTTTGATCTTTATACTTCCAAATGTTCATTTTTGTCCCTATAAATTGTTTTCTTGTTTCTATTCATTTTGGTGTTTGTACTTTTGAAATATTCATTTTAGACTATAAAATTTTAAAATTTATCATTTTGACCTCTTTATTTTCATTTTTATCTCATTTATTTCGATCAAAATTCTAACTTACTACTTCACTCGTTAAAGTTCTTGAAATGTACTCATAAATTAAAATTTTGCAAATAGAGACTAAGATGACCACTTTTCAAAAGTACMAAAGTCAAAACGAACGTTTTAAAGGTATAAGGATTAAAATGCACAAAAGTAGAAAATATAGAAACGAAAATGGACATTTCAAAAGTACAAGAACCAGGAACCAAAGTCAACCTCAAAATTACAACACCAACATGTATTTAGACCTACCATTTATTGCACAATCAAGTCAACTTTAATCATTCTACTCTACATAAAGCTAATGGCAATGACAACCTTATAACTATTTATAAAAGGGTAGTTTAATTTTAGTTTAATTTTAAACTAATTTATTTCTACAAACTGCATAAATACAAAGCTCAAAACCATTGTGTTCACAAGCAAAAAACCAAGCAAGCCATACCTTTTAAGTAACATGCTCTTCATGGACTTCTACAATCTAACTCCTCACAGATGATGAACCACATTCTTTCCCACCTCCTAAGCTTCATTTTGTATATATTCCTAACTCAAAATGCTACATCACAAGGTAAATTCTTAGTGAATCTGCAGGATTCTCACTCCTTAGGCAGCAGATGGAGAAGGTTTCAACTTTTTCGGTGGCGGGTTTCCCCCGGAGATTATTACGTATAAGTAGAAGCAGAGCATTGCAGCACTGTGAGAAAAACCAAATCAAAACAAATTTGTTTTTGAAGGATTTGATTAGTATGAAGCATTGTTAGCAATGGAAGATATGGCAGTCAGAATTATGAGAAGATTTACCTGAGGGCAGCGTAAATGGCGGTTGGAAACACGTTTTTGGTCTACAGAGACGAAAATTATATTATCACTACAATGGGGACTTGATAACTATTAGTTCAGCTCAAATATTATGGATGGGGTGCATACCAATGAGTATGTCTGAAAATTATTCCAGAAAAACGAAGCGGTAAATACTGCAAAGAAGGTAAACAAACGTCAAATTGAGAACTTCGCTATAACTTTCGAGTTTCAAGCAGTTAAAACACATTATACTGCATGTCTGAAGTATATTTGGTGCTTTTCAATTTAGTCCCTACTGTCTAAAAATTTTCAAGTTAATCCCTTAAACAATTTTCAATTATATCCATCAGTGAAGGTTAAAATTGATTAATGATAAACTTACAAGACATGATGGGAGGAATTAGGTCACCTAAGTAAGAAAAATCGAAATTTCTCTCAACTTCTTAAAAATTTTGAATAGAAATTATAAAATTTTCTCCCTTAGTTTGACCTAATATTTCGTCTTAATTTCAGCCAACTCTCTAAGTATCATGTCATTAAGTTTATCATTTATAATATTCATCACCAACAGAAATAGTAAAACTGAAAAATATTAAAATGTAAGGGACTCAATTAAAACTTCTTAAACAGTAGGGACTAAGTTGAGAAACACTCAAACATTAAAGACTAAAACATAAATTTAGCCTAAAACCAATTACCTGCTTGTCCCAAAATGAATGGCAAACTGGACTTTCCCTGCCTCCAGATCTTCAAACTTAAGGTGCTCAATGCCAGCAAAGCACCTCCAGAGATCAAACTGCTCAGTGCAGATGGGTTTCTTGAAAAAATGAAGCTAATAAGGCCACCACTTAGAACAATTCCACCTGTTACCAATTCATTGTCAAACTTCAGGGGAAAAAGGAAACAGTACCTTTTTCTTATTTTGATATCCGTGAGTGCATGGACTAGTTTGCACACACCCAGATTAATATGACTAAATAACTATCTGACCCTACTATATTTGGTCACTTAAACCAATGACGAGTAGGCCAACATATGGTGGTTTACACATCCATTGGATACTTCMCTCTGAACTTATCATCCCCATTTAGATGATAAAAGAAAAGATAAAAACACATTTTAAGGCATTCATATTTCTCTGCCTTTTATCAAAACATGATCTACAGCATCTAGTCTCTTAAATTTAAACAATATAAAAAAGAAGGAATTAACAAATTATCCAGTGTCTTTACGAGAGTGTACAAGGCAGTCTAATGGACTTAGGTATCAATACTGGTAAATTTTTATTCAAGAAGCAAGAGATGACCAAAGCAACAAACAAGAAATAGCTAGGGGGGCCATGTCGAGAGGGCCAGCTTCTATTCCCCACACAAACTCTCACGAAATCTCAAACACCTCAAACTCTAGTCTATATAAACTCTCAGCGGTTATATTTCCATTCTTTCCCCTCCCTCTTGTAAACTTCCACTTTGGAGCACAATCATAGCCTCATAGGGCAACAAGTTCTCTCCCACTTATTATACAGCCATCAATCTCTCAGATATCATGGTCTCCAAACCGAATCTCTTGGTCTCTTCAAGAGTACATTGGGTATGTCCTTATTAAACACCCAGCAGCTTCAGGGCACAGTGCAATTGTGAACAAACACAACCCCTACACACACCTAGGAGCACCCTTCCCAAGGGCATAGGTCACCAGTTTTCGAAGCTTCTCTTTACAAAAATGTTCCTTTACCCTGGGGCTCTATTGTAAGCAAACAGATACAGCTTTCTTAAGGTTGTTAAGAGGAGAACATATCTAACTAACAGTTCAGCAAATGGCATTTAGCTTCCTCCTTCAAGGCCCATGCCTATCAGAAAGACTTGGGCATACTGAGTCCAATTTTCAGAGATCTACTTTTTAACTTCCAATACTATTGAGGAAGAAGTTGCCTTCTTTGTTAAATTTATTCTGAATGTGAAAAACAGAAATAGGTACTGAAAAATACTAATTATAGTCTCTCTCCATTTGATCAGTCATCAGTATTCCTTGTTTTTGTTGCATTCAACTAATTAAATGAGTTTTTTGTTACAAAATCCTAACCAGAACTAACCTCAACCAGCCATTTTCTCTTATCCATACTATTCGAGAATCCTCTCATATTGGGAGGTTTCACTTGATCCAGGCATTTGGTGATCTAATCAACTGTTCGCATTTCAAACTGAGTGAACATGTTCTTTAAAGTACTGATCCTTTGTTATAGAACTAGGTGATTGCAAAGACAGTTTGGTCAGACTATACTTAATAGCTACATCTAACTCAATAAATCATGATTCAATGTAATGCACTTGAGCTCCAACTCTGAGAAACAATGTTAGCAGGGGAGAAAGCACTTATTCTGTAGTGTTCTCAAGTCCATCTCCTTCTCGGGTGAAAGACCAAGAAAGAGCCCTATCAACCCAGTTTAAGAAATAACTTCGAACGCTAATTGCTGAAAGCAGCTTACTTGCCTATGATAAAGCAAAAATGGGAGAGGGGGATCTAGACCAATTGGAGACTTACCAAAAGGAATGCCGAAGCAGAAATCATGGATTTTTGCTGCCCGTTTCGGCACAGTGCCAACATCAGCAGGTTCCTGCAGCTTGTTGGTCTCCAAGTTTACAACATCAGACTCTTCTTCAACACCCRGATATGAGTTTGTTGTTCCTGCAACTCGAGATTCTGATGCATCAGTAGCATAGCTTACACTTGTCTTAGTCTGGGAATCAGCAGTATCTGAAGCAGATCCTTCAAGGCTCATAGCAAYCGAGAACTAGAAAAGGAAATCTCAAGTGTCAGCTCAACCAATTGTGCARCTTGTTATGCCAATACTTTAAACACAGCACGAGTATAGTTAAGCGTTTTCCTTGAAATCGCTATTCTAGATTTTAAGTTCAAATGGATAATACAACGATTAGAAGTTGGTCCAAGTTCTAAAAGAAGTAGAAATGAAGTATCCAAGAAAACTCTAACAACTGAACAAAGCAAAAACGAAATTCAAGTAGCGAAGCATAAAGATTGAATCCACAGCAAAACGTTACTAGATTGAACGGTATATTAAATCAGGGTAGCGAAATTCAAAAACACCCAAGCAACCCAGAATAAATTGTTATCTCAGAATCAATACATGCAAACAAAGGGGCAAAAACAAATCGGATTTAAGACTAACCATCCAACCCCAAATCGAAATAAAGCAAATCGCAAGCTTATAAAACAAGGGTTTCTCATCTTTCATTTAGAAAGAGAAACAGGGTCTCGACACAGCGAAATCCCCAACAGTTCTTTCACATCTCCGCTCCAAAACGTTGCTGAAGAAATCGGACACAAGAAAATCGAAAGGAAACACAAACCTTAGGCAAGGGGAGGGAAGGGCGTGGGACTGAGAATGAGCGGCGCTGTTGCAGGCGAAGGCCGCGGTTGATGGCAGACAAGCACGCAAACTGAGAAGCCGTCGCCGCCATTAGTGCCTAGCAAGGACAGAAGAACTGGGTCTGGAGTATGGAATTGGAATCGAACAACTAAATCGAAAATCGATAAGATGGATCTATGATGGGATCCAATTGATTATGATGTTTGATCTCGGAAAAGTATTGTACTTCTCGAAGACTGTGGATCGTCTGCACGTTTCCCAGATGGATAACCAGCTGTCAATTGAGAAAGCTCAAATTGGCTAAATTCCCTTGTTGAGAAATCAGAATTTCCCTAGGTTAAAAGCAGTAAGCTTTTTTCTGAAAGCCGAAGAATTTGAATCCTTGTGTCCACATTTTCAACATCGGTTAAGGTACGAATTTGGTTCACGTGGCTGCAACACACTTTCAATCTTTTTTAGCTCTCAAACATGGAATCAAAGTTCCCTTATCATTGGTATTTGACTATCTATTACAAAAGATCCTCAACATTTTTTCTGGCTCATCAATCTTAGTCGGATCTCATTTTTGGATCGGATGTTATATTCACAAATTTCATCTCAAAACAATTTRCAACCAGAGAAGTAGTAGATATCTATATCTATATCCATAGTATATATAAAAGGGGCAATAGAGGAGAAACTTTATCTCCCCATTTTGCCCTTTCTAACTTAACCATTTCATTGTTATTTAAGGGGTAAATTTGTCCACCAACCTTTTTTTTAACATTTATGTATTAATAAAGAGTCGCCATCACGGCGAGCGCCCTTTGAGTGGGAAACGCCCTTTCGATTCCCTGATTGAATTTCAATTGAAAACTTCAATTTCAATTTAATCTTTCCCATATTTTTTCCCACCGAGAAGATTTGGATTTCATACCGTAACGTCTCCGCATTTCTACTTGAATTTGTAGTCGACGTCATGCTATAAATCCTCCTCCATCCTCTGCTTTCAACCTCTCTGCTTTCAATGATTAACAGATCCTACGTTATTATAGATATTTCACTCTCCCTTCAATTTCAGGTCTGATCGTAGCAGAAAACAGGCAGGATTATCATGGCGAAAGYGGCATCTCTCCTTTTTGCTTCTATTATTCTTCTTGCTCTCAGGTGCGTTGATCTCTTCGAATTCGAGCATGTTTTTATTCCAGGAAGAAACTGAATGAATTAATCATTGTTGAATTTCCTTCTTTCTACTTCCTATTTGTTTTCAGAATGAGATTTGTTGGCGGTGAATAGAGAGGTATTCTTCTTGCTTTCAGGTGCGTTGATCTCTTCGAATTCGAGCATGTTTTTATTCAAGGAAGAAACTGAATGAATTAATCATTGTTGAATTTCCTTCTTTCTACTTCCTATTTGTTTTCAGAAGGAGATTTGTTGGCGGTGAATAGAGAGGTATTCTTCTTGCTCTCAGGTGCGTTGATCTCTTCAAATTC